GAGCTTGAGCGCCCTGGACAGCACGGTCGCCATGGTGGAAGGCCCGGGTGCGCGTGCGTGCGCTCGTGTCCTGCCGGGAAGTGTAGTTCGGAGTCGGGGTGCGGGGGACTGGGACCTGGAAAGGTGGGAGCGGGGCGGCGAGGCAGGGCGCGCGGGAGGTGCCGGGGCTGCTGCATCATCGCCCACGTGCGCGCTCGTACGGCTCTTCTCCGCCCCCTGGGGACAGACCCCTTACGGCGCGCGGCGCGTCCCCATTCTGAGCCTCACTCTCCGCCTCAGTGAAATGGGGAAATAGTACGCCCCATATAGGCTTGCAGTGAGAATGGAGGGAGGTAACAGATATAAAGGAGGCGAGGGCTGTGAAATGCGCGTGGGCTTTGCAGTGAGACAGACGGGCTCTGAGTCCTGCTTCATCCCTTACTAACTGGGCCATCTTGGGCAAGTCACTTGGTATGATTCTTTTTTTTAAATGGAGACTATACCACCTACTTCACAAGCGAACTGTGAGGATGAAGTTATATAATCTGTTTAAAACGCACAGCACACAGTACGCACCTAGTGTGTTTCTGTATGTTTCTTAGGTAAAGGCTGAGGTTTCCTGTTACCAGTTCTTTCCAGGTTATCAACTCGACACCCTACCCCGCAGCTTCTAGTTTTGAAGAGTCTAAGGAAGCAAGAATATACCTGCTTCTTCCCCACAGGCACCAAAAGATCGGCATTTTGGTCCAGGAATGCTGAAGGATTATTTATCTTAACACAGGAATAGACCTTAGGGACTCCTTGTTTTACTGAAGAGAAAACTGAGAGCCATGAAAGTGACATGACTTCTTGGTGTCAAACAAAAGCTTCAAGATACTTCGCGCTTGGACCGCCTCATCCCCACGAGAAACTGTCATAGGAATATCCTGTGGGTATAATCCCAGAGATTCTAACAGCCATCCCCACCACCCTTTTCCCCACGCAAAAATGTCGCTTACTTCGGCAGACGCTGGAGCCACGCCACGAGTTCGTATCCGAACCCCACCACTTACTAGCTGCCAGATCTAGGCGCGTTGCTTAATCTCTCTCCGCCTCAATTTCCTCCTCTGCAAATAGGGGGTGAAACAGTTCCTATTCCACAGAGTAGTTCTGAGAATTAAATGGACCCACGCAAAGCACTTAGAACAGTGCCTGACTCCTAGTAAGTGTTTTGTCAGTGTGAGCATTTCTTTTTTATTAATAATTTATTTTTTTCACAATTTAATAACTTAATAACAAATAATAACTAACAATTTAATGGGCTAGTGATGTATTTGTTTATTCTTTCAGCGTTCTACAGTACCTGAAATTTTTACTGTTTGCCACTTCTCTGGAGCTATAATTAAAAACCACCTTTTACATCTATGTGGGTCATCTAAGAGAAGCAGTATTACCGGTCACAATACACCAGTAGAGGCTTGCCTGATACCAGTTTAACTAACTGGAACACATTCTTGAGATACGAAGAATGAGAAAAATAACCTTTAAGGTGAGTTGGATCTGTTTTTTGTTGTAGAAGGAAAGGAACTTGCATTTCTAGGAGGGGGGGCTGGTGGATTGAAACATCCAGGTTACAAAGGAGACAAGGGAAGGAGAAAAATCTGTCCACTTTTCTTAGTGAAAGGGTGTAGGCTAGGAAAGTCCCTTATGTGATGAAAGTAAACTAAAATTGTACGAAGTTTGATTAAATCTTTGCTCCAAACTGCATCATCACCCAAAGCACCCATGTGGGCACACACACTGACGTGTGTGCACATAAACGTGTAAAAATGTGTATGCGTTCCATAGATGTGGTATCTGTAGCTCCTCAGCTTTTTTTTAATTTTGTTTTTTATTGACGTGTAGTTGATTTACAGGGTTAGTTTCAGGTGTGCAGCAAGGCGGTTCAGTTATACACATACATGCGTATATACATACATTTTCAGAGTCTTTTCCATTATAGCTTATTACAAGAAACTGAATATAGTTCCCTGTGCTATACAGTAGGTCCTTGTTGTTTATCTATTTTACATATAGTAGTATGTATCTGTTAACCCCAAGTTCCTGATTTATCCCTCCCCACCCTTTTCCCCTTTAGTTTGTTTTCTATGTCTGTGAGTCTGTTTCTGATTTGTAAATAAAATTTGTATCTTTTTTTAGAGTCCACATATAAGTGGTATCATTTGTCTTTCTTTGACTTTCTTCACTTAATATGGTAATCTCTAGGTCCATCCATGTTGCTGCAAATGGCATTATTTCATTCTTTTTCTATAGCTAAGTAATTTTCCATTGTCTATCCATTCATCCATCAATGGACATTTAGGTTGTTTCCATATTTTGGCTATTGTAAATAGTGCTGCTATGAATATTGGAGTGCATGTGTCTTTTCAGATTATAATTTTCTCCCGATATATGCCCAGAAGTGGGATTGCCCCTCAGCCTTTTTAACGTAATCTTTATGGCTACCCCCCTCCCCATCATCACCCCAGCTTTGCCCAAATGATTTTCAGGGGGAGCAGATGCTGTGGAACCCCTCCCTCCCCGTTCCTTGACCTTTTCCTGCTCTTTGACTCTCTTGCCCCTCAGAAGTCTCTCCTGTCCCTTCCACATTTTGTTTCCATTTTAACACAGGAACCACAGCTTAGAACAGTGTTTCTCACACTTAATGCACTTTTCTTCAATGAAAGGAAAAAATTCAAAGTGACCACCAAACGAATCTGGATCCTTGCCTTTTACCTAGAGAACACCTGCTATTCCTCTCCAGTCACCAGGCCGACTGAGCGCCCCCGCTGCCCAGACACCCGCGGAGGGCACCGGCTCCCTGACCTCCCAACCTGGTTTACCTCCCAGAGGGTGGCCGTGGAGGGAAGCCAGTGGATATCCCCTGCCTGAGGGCTGTACCCACTATGAAGAGAAGAAATACTATTTCTGTGGGTCACAACGGAAGCCAGAAGAGCCCCTTCTGATCTCCCTACATGGACCTGCGGTTAGGGTTAGGGTTAGGGTTAGGAAGTGGTCTTCCCCCACCTTCCGAGGTTCCAGTACCTTGTAGAGGGAACCCATATTTACTAGCTCTTACTACCTTTGTGATATCCCAAGCATTGTTCAAAAATCTCCACGTGTCCTACATGGGCTCATGAGTGAATCTGACTCTAATATTCACCATTCCCTAGACACTGCGTCCACTTCTACTGGTCCTGACCCTCCAACTAGCTTTCACTACTTCCCTTTGGGACCAGTACCACTGTGCTCCCAGCGGCTGCCACCCCTCCCTCTCGGCACCACTGGGACTGCCAAGCCTCACGGCCATCTCTGCCTCCTTACAAAGCCTGCGACTTCTCCCTGTATCTCCTACCAGTCAATGCCACTTCGTGTGTTAGTTGTTGAAATGTCAAAGCTGTTCAGAGTCTGACAACTGAGAAAGGCTGTCTCCCTCTTCCTTTTAGGTTACACTTTATTAGAAAACTAAACACTACGCTGCCTCATCTTTAAGGTCAAATGCAGTATTTTCATTAAACTGAGGTTTTATTTTTACCCAGTGAGGCAGTCGGGGCAAGGTTACTGCTGTAATAAACAACTTCAAAAGTTCAATGGTTTGAAAGAATAAGAGTTCATTTCTGCTCATGTCATGGTCAAGGTGAGGGTGAGGCTAGGCAGCCCTGAGACTCTGTTTCTCCAGGTCCTTCAGGGACCCGGCTCCTCTGCCTAAGGCTTCTTCATCCCTGGGGCCTTGGAGTCCTCCACTTGATCGTCAGCACCTCCTGATCATGCAGTGTATGGAAATGAACTCTTTCCCTCTTCTTTCTTATCATAAATATTCTTTTTTTATTTTAGTCTTCAAGACCTGGAAATTTTATTCTTTTATGTGAGTAATTGCTATTTTTATTCCCTTACCCTAGTCTCAAAGACCACAGGTGGGTGCTTAGAGATGAGATTTTGCATAAAGGTATTTTCTCCTTCCTAACACAACTGTCTCATTTTATTTCTTTGTCTGAGATCATCTTAAAAACCTGAGTTTGGTTCTTCACTTGGAAGATTTTGCATGAGGCTAACCTTTCCTCCACTTCCCCAGTCTTAAAAGCCAGCACTGGTCTTATTTGAGGAGATGTTTTGGAATGGGTTTTTGTTTTGGTTTGGTTTGGTATTTTTTGGCGGAGGGAGGAAGATAATTAGGTTTATTTATTTATTTATCTTTGGAGGAGGTGCTGGGGATTGAACCCAGGATCTCCTGAATACTAAGCATGCACTCTACCACTAGAGCTATACCCTACCCCCCTGGAATGGGTTTTTATATTTTCCCCCATCACTTTTTGGGGAACACTTATTCCCCAGTCCCAGATTTCCATATGGGGGCATTTCCTCTAGAGCATCACGGAAGAAGTGAGTTTTCTGGTTGGTGAGTTCAGAAAAAGGGAGGAGGGAATGTTAATACAGCTGCTTCCCCTTTGGGACTCATTCATTCATTCACTTTTTAAATGATTCATTCATTCAATATTTGAGTGACTGCTACTTCTGGGCCCTTTTCTAGATTCTGGGATGTAAGATTAAACAAAATAGTGGAGCCAGGCAGGAGAGAAGGTAGATAAATACATAGTGTATCAGATGGTAATAAATGTTATGGAGAAAAATAGGATAGGGAAGGGGAAATGAAGTGTGGAAGTTGCTGGCAATGGGGGAGGGGCATCCAATTTTTAATAGGATCGCTAGAGAAGGCAGTAAGAGGGTGACATTTGAACAAAGATTTATGGAGGCAGCGTGAACAGCAAATGAAAAGCCCCTGAGGCAGAAGCCTGCCTGGACTGTTTGAGGACCAGCAAGAATGTGGCTGGAAAGGATGGTTCTAGGCGGGAAACTAGTAAAAGATGAGCTCAGATATGACCAGAGTAGAGACGGGTTATGTAGCCTTTGCAGGTGTAAGTAAACACTTGGGCTTTTGGTCTAGGTTAAATAGGAATCCTTTGAAATTTGGGCAGGGGGGCACAGAAGAGTTGATTTTAAAAGATTTATATTTTAAAGGGATCCCTTTAATCAGTTTGGAGACTAGACTGTGGGATGGCAGAGGTGATGACTAGCTCTTGGTCACTGCAGTAATCCAGCTCAAAAGTGATGATGGCTCAGACGAGGGTGGAGGGAGGTGGGGAGAAGTGATGACTCCTCCTTTATTTTGAAGGTAGAGCCCCTTGGGAATTGCTGATGAATGGAATGTGAAGTGTTGGGGAAAGAAGAACAAAGGAGGCTTTGAGGCTTTGGCCTGAGCAATTAGAAAACCGGAGCAGGGGAGACAGAGGAGCAGGCTGGAAAGGGGAGATCAGGGGTTTGGTTGGTTGGGATGTGCTAAATTGGACATCCACTTGGATGTGCATGTGGAAATGGAGACTAGGCAGCTGGATATAAGAGTCTGGAGTTCAGGGAGAAGTCCTAGGTGGAAATGTAAATTTGCGGGGCATTAGCATATAGCCCACATTGGACCGAGATCACTAAAAGAGTGAGGATGAAAGAGGAGGGGAGGGAAGGGGAGGGGAGGGGAGAGTGAGCCCTGCCAGCAACATTCCAGCAGGCACAGTTCCTGAGAACCTGCAGCGGAACCAGGAGGAGTGGCCAGTGAGATCAAAGGATGACCAGGAGAATCTGGTGTCCAGGAAACCAAAAGGAAAAAGTATTTGAGGGTGAGGGGGCCAGTGTTTAATCAATTGTTTAGGTGCTGCAGAGAGATCAAGGAAGGAAATGATTAGGAGTGATCTGTCTGCTTTCAGAGCATGCAGTTTGCTCTACTCTTTGCTGTGGCTTAGGGAGCCTGCAGTTTTCCTGCTATGCCAGGTAGTCTCTCTAATTCAGAGAGAGAATTTGCAAGCCCTTTCAACCGCAGATCTAAGCACTGTCGTTCAGCCTAGCTTTCTTGCAACGGCGAAGCTGATATTTTCATCTCTATCTGTCCATCTCTTCAGTCTATTCTCCGGTCAATCAAGACTATGCAGGGGAGATGGGGATTAATTTACTGGCCCCGCAAAACTTCCACAATCTTTAATATTCCTTTCACGTGTCTTGGCTTGAGAGATTTGTTCCCTTTTATATGGTCTGTTTCCTCAGTGTTATTTTCTCTTCTTTCTGTCCCATCTTAGGGAGATTCTCCCTCAAGCTACTTTCTTCTTCTCTAATCCAGTGTTTAACACCCACCAGAGGAGCTGCAGTTACCTCAGTGTGGAGCCCGAGACCCTACTCCAGCCTCGCGGTGATTCTTTCTTCTCATGGGAAGCAGATGGAATTAACAGACCATCCCTAATTGTTGTTCCTAAACAAGGTACTGCAAGATTCATCAACCTCTTCCCAGAAGCCAGGCTATACATCAGACACAAGGGTCAGGATTTTTTACAACTCCACCATTAAAAGCCCCTCTTTATGGAAAAACCGTATGCTTGTATGTTTTCATGTTTCTAAGAGGACAGAAATAAACTTGGCCCTTGGTGACCCAAATGAAGTAGAGGATATCTCCATGAGCCCACAGTAACTGCTCTGAGCAGAGTAGTGGAGCGAAAAACAATCTAACTCCTTGGAATTGTCACCAGGTCACATATGCACTCAGTTGCTCTCTCTCTCTCGTCCATCTCCTGACCGACAGAGACACACTGAGTGTGGGCCAAAGACCACTGGGAACTTGAAGGAAGACATCCTCAGGCAGAGGACAGGAGCCGCAAAGGTCAGAGAGATGATGGGAAACCCTCTGATGGCCTCTGGCTCTTGGGGTCTGAAATTTCCATCTTAAGATCAAAAGCATCAAGGGGCAGTCTAGCTGAAAAAGGCCACTTGCCCTAATTTTGCAAGAGCCTAAAAATAAAACCAAGGAGGATTTCTTAGAGAGATGATACGGCCTGAGCTTACTCTTCCATGCCAGTAGACAAATTTATTCCTCATTCTCTCTTTTGCCTTAAAGACCTTGGATTTCTGTTGTTTTTTGTTTGGTTTTGGTTTTGTTTTTCGCTTTGTCAGTAGGTTTAAAGATTATTAGTAGGATTCTTGGAGAGATTTACATGAAGCTGTTTTCTTATTACCATCATAAAGACTTCGTTTTCATTTTACTGCCCTCAGAGGTAAGATTTTATTCTTTCATTTGGGAGACTGTACATGAAGCTAATCTCTCATTCCTATGAAAAATGGTTTTTCTGTGTGTGTGTTTCTCTTTGATACCTTGGCCTTAAAGCTCTGAAACTCTGTTGTCTTATTCCAGAGATTTTTATTTCAATCAAACTACTCTCTCCTTCACTAATAAAATCCTTAAGACAAGTAGATTTCTGATAGGACAGTTCATGTAATATTAATTTGTTTTTTCACAATACAGATTTCTTTTTTCCTCAGTCTTCAATCCTTAATGATCAAGTTCTTTTATTGAGAAAAATCTGGGTGCATCTTTTTTCTTTTACCTTGAAACTAGGGCTAAAAATATTAGATGCTGAAGACTTCAATTTCATGACCCTTTGGCTTTATATTATATAATTCTTCCCAAGGGAATAACAATTTAATCTTCGATCTGCCTTGCATTATATAATTATCTAGATTTTAAAATATTAATCTCACTGATGATATAATCATCTCTTCCTGTTTCTGGTACATGGTAAACTACATGTTCTTAAGGTTTTTTCGGGGTTTTTTTGTTTTTGTTTTTGTAATTTCTTTTGTGGGGGAGGAAGGCAATTAGGTTTATTTATCTATTTATTTTTGGTGGAGGTACTGGGGATTGAACCCAGGACCTCATGCATACTAAACATGCAGTGTACCACTTGAGCTATACACTCCCCTCTTTAAGTTTTAATTTAAATGAAAAAATAAAGGAAAAAAATTGGCAAAAAAATCTAGTTTAAAATGGAATCATAGATTTAAAAAAAATCTTCTTTAATCACACCCAATGTATTTGCCTCAGATGTTCATCTACCAACTCTAATTTCATGACTTCTATGTAAATCTGGACTGACAATTTCAGACTAAAGGGCCTTCACACCAGGGCAAAACGGGCTTCTGTTGGGGGCCTCATGCCTCAAGGCATCCCAGGCTCTGAAGTGTCTTCCTCAACATGCTCCAGGTTCCCTCCAGGATGTGGACCACTCAGGTGGAGTGTGCCCCGCGAGCTCTTGTATCTTTCCTTAGGGGAGCTCTCTGACTCTGCCTCCACCCACATGCTAATGAATTCTGAAAAATCAAAATACATTTGAAATCAAACTGTTTATATTGATGACACCCTGCCAGAAATATTTCCTGAGGTCCTCCCTGCCCCCACCCCACCCCCACCAACCGTCTCCATGGCAACAGAGCCACTCCATCTCACTCCCACATCTGTGTCCTGTCAGCTCTGCTGAAGGGGATTTGAGTGTGTGTGTTTGTTTCCTTTAATAGCACTGGATCTCAATGTTGGAAGGGAATCTCAGAGGTCAGCAAATCTAATCCCCCCTGAGTAGGAATTGCTTCTGTAATCCTCAGTCACTTCATCTCTGCTTGGACATTATCGGCTCCTGAGAGCTCATGGTGTGCAGCAGAAATTCTCGGTTGGGTAATTTTGTGGCTGCTACCCGTGACCACCACCCAGCAATCTAATTTTCCCTCCCAAAGCCACAGTAAACAAGGTCTGATCGCCGTTCCATGCGGCAACCCTTGAAATGTCTGAAGTACTGAGGCAGGGTTCTTAGGAGAGTTCCCTTGAAGTTATTTCCTCCTTTCTATCAAGGACATTTTTCTCTACCCACTCCCTTCTCTTTCCCTTAAGTACATGAAGTTTTGTCTCCCAGTGCAAGAGGTTTCCGTTGACGATAATTTCTCCTTCCGCAACCAAGCCTCACATTCCTTACAGAGAAGGTTTTTTATGGACTTAATTCCTCCTTCCCCTCAGAAATGTGTTCTTGTACTGCTTGGGCTTTGAATCTTTAAAGACCTTAGACACGGACTCTAAAAGCTGAAAATGCCTGTTGAAGAGCAAGAATGGATTCTCTAGAGAAGAGGATATTCCTGGAGCTGCTTCGACCTAGGACATCACAGAACTCCTCGTTTCTTTTTCTGTGTTAAACTTAAAGACCCGAGGTCTTGCTCTCATTTGTAAGAACAGAGCTCCTTTCTTCTTTACTAGGCCAACCTTAAATGAGAGAAAGCACTTGAGAGAAAGGATTTTGGCATGAAGTTTTTCTGCCTGTCCCATAGAATCCTTTACAAATTCTTTCTTTAGCCTTAATTTTAATCTTGCATCTCTATGCTCTGATCTGAAAAATTGTTGACTGTATTTTCCTTCCCAGTCTTGAAGATCGGGGATGCAAGAGTCTATTTGCTTCTGTGACAAAAACGTATTGCTTTCCACACCTTAGCTTTACAGATCTGTGAATTTGTTACCTCTTTTAGTGAACGGACAAAAATTACAAACTGGCAGCTTGGAGAAGAGATACAACTGGGACCAATGAATATGGCGCCACTCACTCAGTTTATATTTATAATGTTTTAATTTTAAATGAATAAGTATGATTCATTTCAATTTGATCTTTTTGTGTGTCATTTCAATGAAATAAAAATGTAATTTATTAATATATGTACAAAACTAAATTTCAGCTACTTAAAACAATGGCATAGATCTAAATGTACTAATAGAGGAACATGCCCACCATAAGCTCCTGAAATAAATCTATAATGATCTGTTGTGTGCACGTGTGTGCACATGTAAAAATGTTTAATGTATATAAAGGGGTGCAACGGACTGAATATTTGGGTTCCCCCAAAATTTATATGTTGAAACCTAATCCCCAATGTGATGGTATTTGGAGGCAAGGACTTGAAAGGCCTTGAGATTAGGGCTCTCATAAAAGAGCCCCACAGAACTCCCTCGCCTCTTTGTTACACGTGGACATGACAAATAGACAGCCGTCACCAGACACAGAATCTGCCTTGATCCTGGACTTTCCAGCCTCCAGAACTGTAAGAAATGAATTTCTTATAACAAGCCACCCAATCTGTAGTATTTTAGTTGTAGCAGTCCAAACGGACTAAGACAGGAAAGATAAACACAAAATCATCAAGAGTGGTTCTCTCTGGGAGGTGTGTCGTGTTGCATTCATGAAGGGAGAGGACTGTTAGAGAACGTTCACTTTTGACTCCATGTTCACTTGTTCTAGCGGACCAGAAGCATATATTCCTTTTTAAAAAATTTTAAAGCTGTCACCAGAACAGCAACAGAAAAGGAAAAAGAAAATATACTAAGGACATAGAGTCAATCAAGAGAAATTATATAGAATGTCGTTGTTTATTTCCACTGAAATTAGTTTCTAATATCTACTTAATTTTATTAACTTTAAAGTATGTCATAGTTTCATTTTATAATCTACCCCTCCTGGTACTTTAATGGTGATTAATCTAAGGTTTATTATAACTTTCCTATGAAATAGTCTGTGACGAACTTTGATATCTTGCCCACGCATACAACAGACTAGGGAAATATCTCTTAAGGAGACATTACGCATGTTTACCCACAGTAAAACATCAGAGTTCTTATATTATGACGTTTCTTCATAAAGAGTCCATTTTTTATTTCCTCGCCCGTTTTCAGTTCCCAGCTTTGCTGAATTCCTCTTTTCCTCAACTTGACTCTCATCAGGTTCAATCTCTTTGGGATGTTTTCACAGGATATTTGAAAGAGAAGATAAACCCAAGTTCCCCCATATTTTTTCCCTTAAAAAAATAAATATTCCTTTCCCTTGTTTAATTTTAAAACTCAAATAGAATTTCTGGTTCCTGCAAAAATGGAAAACTGGCACAGATTACTGGCTCCCTTCCCCAGAATTGAACAAGGAAAAGCTTCAAGAGAACGTGAATTCCAGGAACTAATGACACCGACAATAAGAAACTTCTGGGGAGGCAGAGGCAGTGCACCTGAAAGGGTTGGCTGTAGCCTGGGGCAGAAGACTGGCTGGGAGAAACAGGTTAGCGAAAATTAGCTTACATTTCCTCTCACCTCTTCCCTACTCCACTTTGAGGCAATGATTGCCTTCTGGACCACCAGGGAAATCAGTGAACTAGGGGTTTGGGGGTAAAATCAGGCAACCCAAATCTCAGCTACAGTTAGAAATTAATGAAAAAGGGGCAAACTGACCAGCCTGGAGCGCTGACTCCTCCACCCCTTCCCATAGTCCCTGGCTATTAAGTTCCAAATGATATGCCCAGCCTGGACCTTGCCCGTGAACTCTGGACTCATCTTTCCAAAACTGTCTACTCATAACTCTCGTTGGATGTCTAATAGGCATCTCAAAGGAAATGTGTCTTCAACCAAACTCTTGATATTCCCCCCCATAACCCATTCCTTTTGCTCTGTTCCCCATTACAGTGAGTGATAATTCTATTCTTCTGGTGACTGATTCCAAACCTGTTGGTGCTGTCTTCCATTTATATCTGGAAAAATTCATGCAATGGAGAACTATGCAGCTGTAGCAAAAAGGAAGATTCATATGTACCACTATGGAGTGAATTCCATGATGCGTAGCTAAGTGAAAAAAGCAAGGTGCAGGATAAGTGTGTCGTATTCTACCTTTACCTAAAAAGGAAGGCAAAAATGAGCAAATGCATATATTTTCAAAAATGGAAGAACAAGTTAAAATGTAATGAGAAATGGTTACCTTTAGGAGGAAGGAAGAAGCAAGCAGGTTAGAGGAAACAGGGTTAGAAGCTAAATGTCTCTGAATATACTTTGTTTTTATAGCTTTTAACTTAGAAACCATGTAGATGGTTTACATAATTATAAAAGTTAACTCAAGCTAGGAAAACATTAATCCCTGAAAACTGAAAACAAAGAATCAAATATATCAAGTTGGTGACTTAACTATGTAGAGAAAAATTGATTCAGTAACTTCAAAATACAACAATTTGTACCTTCTTTGTGGAGCATAGTCTAAAGGAAAAATAGAATCGCAAAGTAATCTTAGATTGTATTCAGGAGTCATATTGCTAATAACAAAAGTATAAAATTATTATACACATATATAATAGAGCAAATAAGCAATTTGTTAAGGATGTTTGAAACTATCATGTGTACACATAGAATTAGCTAAAGCAAATTAAGTAATTATGCTAATAAGTAAGAATAAAGAGATACAAATATAAAATCAAAGAACTTAGGTTTTAAGAATGTGCTCTTTTATTTGAATTGAAAATATGAATATTAACTTATGAGGTATTTTTCCTTTTCATACAAGAGTGTATGTTTCTAGCTCTCTGCAGGGAGAAGGCCTGGAAGCAATGACTAACCCAATGGGGACCCCTAGTGCCCAGACAGTATTCTCTACCATTTCCCATGAAAAGGAACCAGGGCTCCTTGAGAGAAGGGATGGATTCCAGCCTGGAGCAGGAATGAGCCTGAGATACCTAGTCACACTAGAAACAAGGAAGCTATTATAGTCCACCAGGGTCATGTTGAAAAGTCCACAGGAACCAGTTTGAAGGAACTCCCAGTGGTCAAAACTGAAACAATTTGAAGGGGCTCCCAGTAGCCAAAGATGAAATTTTATCAATAAGAATAATGACTGCAGTAGAGCGAAACATATAAAATATGTTAATATCCCAAGTTTACAATGATACTTTTAAAAAAATCCTCATTGATCACCTTTAGAGGATACTAAAGAACCAAGTAATTTTTCTAAAAACTGGAAATGCAGGAGAGTTAATACCCCATGGAGCAATCCTGGTACAAGAACAGGAGTCAGTGATAAATATTCCTTTCTTTTCTTTCAAGCAGCAACTCTCCATGCACTTACGTGACTTCCTGGGGTGTCCCTAGCAGGATAAGCCTCTAGTTCCCACAGTGGGGTCAACTCAGGGAGGTGCTCTTAGGGTATCTTCTCCTCCTTTCCTGCTTCATTCATTCCTCTTTTCTGTTCCTTGGAGGATCATTTTCCAAAACAATGATCATCATGCAAGTCTTTGTCTCAGGCTCTGCCTTTTTGAAGAACCAACACTTAAACAGTTGGTAGCAGAAGGCAGCCCCTCAGAATGAGTCTGGATCTGGGTCACTTCCAGGTCAGACATGGGTAAGGACTCCATTACTGGTGATAAGTAAGAAATACTATGGATTTGGCTGACTTTTGTTCATGGCCTTAAAAGCCTTGAAGAAAAAAAAAAGGAGGGGGCTCAGGTTAACCAGATAGCTCTAGACATACCGTGAAAGTGAGAAAACCTCCATGGTAGTGTTTAAAGACGTTCCTGTAGCCACAGGGGCTGAAAAGTAAGTCCAGGGTTTAACTGCTAGGCTAGCAGAGCCCAAAGAACACTGAACAATACTAAACAGCACTGAACAGGTCTCATGTCCAGGTTAAGAACCCGATATGATGCAGTGAGAATCAGAGACCTAAGATGGGGATATCTGGGTGCATGAGCCTAGCAACCTTGAACCCCGATTCCTCTGCATCTTCCAGGCTGGCAAATGCAGCTCCCTCCCCTTGCTAAAGGAGAACAGCCTTTATTCAAATGGAGGCTCCCAAAAGACCACACCTAAGGCAGGTATTTCATAAAACGGTGCTTGTTCTCCTCCAGATCTGATTCCATCTTCCCTCTCTGCCTTGGAGCCGATGACAGGGGACAAGTCACAGCACAACCCAAGTGGGGAATTCCTGCTCTGGAAGCATTCGCACTACGTGAATCTGAACACCTGGCCAACATGTATCAACAGGAACTGGGGCGTGTGTGGGTACGGGACGTAAGCATGCTAGACCGGGAGACAAAGAGAGCTCAAGATGATATTCAGGCGCTGAATACTTAGAATGGGGGAATTAAAACCTTGTTCTTGACAGGATAAGATGGAAGGGAAATTTTTCAAAACAGGGGAGAATCCATCCATGCAGATGTAAATGAGAACTCAATCCTTTTTCCACTTTGTGATTTTAACATAAACTAATGTCATCAGAAAGAAACAGCTGATGTTACAACTAAGTAAGGGACACGCCAATCAAGTTCCTCTCTTTGGATTCCTCTTTTTCCCCAAAATTGCTGATTATGATCAACCTTTAAGTTTCCAATAATAATTATGTACTTTTTCCTTCCCCCTTCTAAAAAAAGAGTTCTTGGCGTAGGATGGAATGCTAGACACTAAAACACACACACACATACACACTGGACATTATTCAATCATATCTAGTAAATTGCAAAAGTTAGTAACTAAAATAGATGATTAGATCTAATACCAAGAACAGTTTTGTTAATCATTTAACACAATTATTAAGCAACCCCTGGGTGAGGTAAGTGAGGAAAAGTTAAGGAAAAATAGATCTTTGCCCTTTAAGAGCTTAGTTTTTTATCAAGGCACATGGCTATGAGCAGCAAAAATACTCAGAGCCTCTTACAAAGCAACATAAAATTTCTTATGAATTGTAAACTGCATGCTACTTCACATTTTAATGTCTCTGGATGCTGTAAAATCAATTGAACATCATAGTTTACTTGTTAGCATTTGTTTTCTCTCTATTAACAGCACATAAAGTAACAATGCCTCTTATAATCAATGGCATGTTGGAGTCAAGAAAATATAAAATAATTAAACGGCCATTTATTTTATAGCAATCAACAAATATTTGCCAAAAAGTAAATTTCTATATCCGTAGGTAATGAAGTTAATATGTGTTACTACAAAACTAGAGGTCATCAGCCTCACCGTTATTGATCCACCCTGCCTGGCTCAGGTTCAAGGTCTTCTTTCCCAAGGCGCAAGCACAGCAAGAGGTTCCTCGGTGCAGATTCGGAGCAGCCTGCACAAATTAGGCTAACAATTAGGTTAACAACTGCAGATAGTGTGACCGGTGGGGCAAACCTGCAGAAAGAATTCTCCTGGGGACAGAACATTTGAATAAACAAAAAATGGTATGTGACTTCAGCCAGAAAGACCACACAGTGTTCCTGGAGACACAGTGAAAGTTGTACTTTCAGACAAGTCCAATTTCAGGGGGTGAGTTAGAAGGGGAGGACATCTTGATGGAGGCATCCGTGTGGCACAGAGGCAGAAGCATCCAGAGGGTGTATGTAGATCTGTAAAAGGTCGAGGTGACAGGGTGCCTGTTGCACAAAATAAAAGCATGATGGACACACCACAGTCATGGATTCAAATCCTGGCCAAGCCGCACCCTGGTTTTTGCCCTTGCGAAAGTCACTATGTTATTTTAAAGTCACTTTACTGGGAAAGGCATAAGTACTTTGAATTTCGGGTTCCTCCTTTGTAAAATGACTATAAAATACTCACGTTTAGTGGTGTGAGGAGAGAGAATGCTTGTAAAATACTCAGCAGGGAGGGAGGGCACTCAGTAAATGGTAATAAAATCGGTTAGAAGGTTTTCACGAGAAGTGAACGAGCAAAGCTGTGATTCAGAAAACTGACGGAGAATCTGTGATTAAAACGGACTGGAGAAAGAAAGTGCTAAGTAGAAAACTAGTTAGGATGCTATCTCACTCTTCCAGTTGGGGGGATGGAGCAAACTAGAACGTCTGTGGGTGGAAATGCGGCAGTCAGGGGTCCCCAGGGGCGGGGGGCTATAAAGACTGTGAGCCCGGCCTGTGCATTACCTTCTGGGGCCAGAGCCTGAAGGTGGAGGCAGGAAAAGCGCGCCAAGAATCCGGAGGCTCTGCAGTTTGGCCCCCATGTCCCTGAGGACGCGGCCGGGAGAGAACGGGGCGGGGGTGTGTTCACCGCTGCCTAAACCCCACACCCCGGAGAATCGTTTCCAGGCTCCCCGACGAACAGGTCAGATTCAGCAC